AACAAGCTCAGCCGGTGAGGAGGGGACCAGCCCGGCCCCTCAGCCCCACCACCGCCGCGGGGACCGCACTCACCCGCCCAGCTTCTTGCCGTAGGCGATGGCCTCCTCCACCAGCTCCTGGTAGGCGGGCATCTGCGCCGCAGCCAGGATCAGGGACGGGTTGGTGGTGGCATCCTGGGGCTTGTACTGGTCGATGGCTAGAGAACGTTTAGAGAGTTTTAGAAAGAAAGAAGTGCGGCTTGCTTCCCCGCCGAGTCTGACAGTCCCTCTGAGCCCTAGACACGTGCAGCCACGCGTGTTCCCGCCCTGGCCGGTGTGGCCCAGTGGATAGAACGTGGGCCCGCAGACTGAAGGGTCTCTGGTTTGATTCCAGTCAAGGGCATGTACCATGGTGGCAGGTTCGATCCCCAGGTCGGGATGCGTGTGGGAGCCAACTAATGCATGTGTCTCACATCCATGTTTCTCTCTGTCTCTCCCCCTCCCTTCTACTCCTGGGGTGAGGATTAACAACAAAACTGTTTGCCAAGCCGAGGTACAGCCCCGCGTCACACATATGTCCCTCCCTCCCTGAAATGGCCGGAGGCAGCTGTTGGCACAGGGATAGGACCACCAGCAAGTCTAGCCAGGGAGGAGGGTGCCCCAAGGGCTGGCCTCACTGCTGGGGGGGAGGGGGGGGCAGTTGGGATGTTCGGACAGCAGAGGGCGCACCCTGCTTCCCCGCAGCCAGTGAGGGACCCGCATCCACAACTGCTCGCTTCTTCCTCCTGTAAACCTCTCCCCTACCTCCCAGCTCTTCCCCTGTAAACCTCTCCCCCACCTCCCAGCTCTTCCCCTGAAAACCTCTCCCCTACCTCCCAGGTCTTCCTCCTGTAAACCTCTCCCCTACCTCCCAGCTCTTCCCCTGTAAACCTCTCCCCCACCTCCCAGCTCTTCCCCTGAAAACCTCTCCCCTACCTCCCAGCTCTTCCCCTGTAAACCTCTCCCCTACCTCCCAGCTCTCGCGTAGGTAACCAGGCCCGGGATTCCAGGCCAGCGGGCCAATCTGGGGCCTCCTGACCAGCTGTCGAGGGGGACTGGGGAGTGCAGAGCGGCCAGAGGGCTCGCTGCTTCAGTAAGTTTATTGGGTAAATTCGTATTTTCAAAGTGTCCTTTGATGACCACACCACAGAGATGGAGAAAGATCCGGGGCCGGCAGGACAGGGGTGGCTCTCCGGAGACCAGGGAGATGGCTGTGGCCGGGGGCCCACAGAGAGCTACAGGTGTCACACACCCGCCGCAGCGAAGGGGCCCTCCCCCACCCGCAGCTGAAACTGGTGAACACGGTGAGCCCCTGATAAAAGGACGGCGCGGGCAGGTGCCAACTTCCGGGCAGGTGCCAACTTCCGGCACACAGGGTGTCCCCCTGCAGGGCGCGGGCCAGGGGCTCTCTGGGCTAGTTTTGCAACTTCTCCTATGTCGCTGTTTCTAAATAATGGCTGCGGAAGCGGTGCTCGGGCGGTGCCTGCACAGGTGTGCAAACCCACAGGCGACGCCGGCAGGCCGCGCCTTGACAGCGCTGACTTTTAACAAAATGAAAGGACCAACCGGGGATTCGACGATGAGCCTCAGGTCCCCGGACCCTAAAGTGGATGCAAACTGGGAGGACACTGGTCTAGGGGAGGCCTCCGGCCCCCACCCCAGGCCACAGGTGAGACCTTCACACCAGACAATGACCACAAATCCAAGGGCCCAAGCCGCCTGCCGACACCGATGGACAGACGGTATCAACTGGCGCATTTTATAAAGTTAATATTCATCCAAACATGTCAGTCATTGGGCTTAGATGTTTTTAAAAAGAAAACCCGCACGCATTCTCCAGAAGGTGTGAGAATAATGGCTGCAGGAACAACAGACGCGGCTGCCGCCCGGGCCGAAGTCCAAATTCCTCGGCGCGCGAAGGAGGGAAGAAGCCGGCAGGGAACGCGCAGCCGCTC